TAGCATTATCATTTAATGAATTACTTTCTTATTTGTACTTGCTTACTATTAAATTCTGCTATTAAACTTTAAAATAATCAAAAATACAGTCTCGGATAAAATTTCACTCTAAATACGCATAAAAAATACAGTTAAAATAGCAACTAACGCCTTAATCAACTGAAATTTCTTACTGCATTCGAAATTAAAATACGAGCTTAAAATAGCTCGGATATTTATATTGTACGTGGAAAGATAATGACTACTACGAGATTTTTATGCGCGTACATAACTAAAAATGATGTATACATAATACCACTGGGAATAGGGACATGATTAGAAATATTAGTCAGTACATTGCGTGCATGTCTTTCGATACTATGTTTATGACAATAACACCATAATATAGCCGAAGGTTATAAGATAATTTATTTCAAAACACAGTTCACAGAATAATCCTTTTCCGGAAAATAAGTACCTATGTCTGGACAAATCAAATAACATCCACGGCATTGGCAAGTAGGATTTATATATTTTTGAACGTCAGAATGTTTTGTCTAACGCGTACTCGGAATGAGCCAAGCCAACGGACAATTCCCTCAAGCGTATATTTAAAAAAGCTTTAAAAAATTTGAAAATTAGCCGAATGATTGCACCATCTAATATCTATTAGCTTATTTCTTTCGATCATTTGGCTTCTACGGGCAGATCGATTGAGATGCTCGATTGTGAGTGTGATTGTGGATCGTTGAAAATTTTACCGAAGCTTCCTTTAATGCGCACACTTGAACGCTCTTAACTTTTTTTCTCGAGTTTTCTAGTTATTTCTTCTTTTACCCAATCTACTTACTTTCAACGTACGCTTAATACATGAATCAGGCATGTCGAAATTCGCTCTACGAAAGCGAATCTTTACTTGATCTTCCATACGAGTTACAGGTGAGATATTTACGTAAAACGTTGAAGCAGAGAGAGAGAGAGAGAGAGAGAGAGAGAGAGAGAGAGAGAGAGAGAGAGGAGAAAATATGATTTACTTAAAAGGTGCATAGGAGACTACGCAAATATGACTTATTAACAAAATTACATATATAGCGAAGACAAAAGATTTCCCGTCACAGATCTAAATCTTAAGAACAGTATGAGAAATGCCATCGTAATTAGTAATAGTATTACAAAATCACAAAATCATATGCTTTTTGCAATTATTTATTGTACAAAAAATGCCCCTGCGCATGTGTAGTCCAGCTTATGCAGAATAAAAAATAAAAAATTAAGCTTAAAGCATGAGAATAATGTATTTTGTCGGGATGTTAATTCGTAATTTGTCTGCTATTATGTCTTTTATACCCAACTTTCCTCTTTCATTGAACATTGCTTACTAAATTAAGTTCTAGAATATAATCTTAGCCCAATATTGTTAACTAATCAATTTTCATTAAGACTAGTAAGTGTTTTATAATTACCATAGTTATTGAATGTCATTAAAATATCATGCAATATTTTAAATGAATTAATTTATGCTTTTCTCATTAACAAAATACTTTCAACAGCATATCGGTGCTTATTATGATAAATATATTATATGTTAATACTCGCAATTTAGAATAGAATCAATTTTGTAATGGATGACTTCGATTAATTCATAAAATACTTTGGTATAATTTAAAGACCATAAACAACATTAATTTTTGTCAAAAAACGATTAATAAAATATTGAATTAATTTGTCATTTTTATTGAGCTTTGTAGGAACTGGTTTTATCTTATAATATTGAGAAATAGATCTTGTGTATATATGTGTGGGCGCCCGCGCGTGATCTCGCGTGTGCATGCGTGTTAACAATGGTTATTGTTAATGTATATGCAACTTATACACAGCAAATTTAAAAGATCAAAGGTAATTTTTAAAGAGACAAAACGCACGCTTTCTATTTAAGCTGTTAATTCAATAATTAAGTAATGAGTATTAAAGAAAATATCTTTATGAATTTTAATAAAAGGAATAATTAGGGGAAAATATAATATACTAAATAGACGAATAACTTTATCAATATTTTATAGTTATAGCCGTGGATTTAAGTTATAATGCAAAATCAATTTTAACCATCAATTTCATCCATCATTTCAAACGTCTCTTGCACCATCAAGCGTCGATATACGAATAGATATATATATATATATATATATATATATATATATATAGAGAGAGAGAGAGAGAGAGAGAGAGAGCTTACTATTTCAGGAATTGAATAATATCCTTAATTAAATGTATTGATCAAACGTGAGGTAATTGTTTGCTATTCGATTCGATTATCCAAATAATAATAACGAGGAGCGTCAGGGCAATTGTTAAAAGTCTCCTAAGCATCTTTGCCGCGGTAAGTGCTTAAATAAAACGCAAATGGTGAAACGTCCGTGGTGAAAATAGAGGCTACGGCACAGGATGCAACTTCCGGTGCATGCGCATTATTACATTGCAAGGTAATTACGTAAGCGGCAAGACCATGACAGAGGCGCGAGGCGCAGGTGACGGGCCCAATAGCCGCTACTCGGATCCCTCGATCGGCATCGGCCGGCGAATAATCAATTCCATTGCGTTACGAGCTATGATAATACTCGCCGACTTCCATTAGGACTTCCATCTGTTTTCGACCTAGAAATGCTTTTTTCGCGTTCCCCTGCCACTACGACGAAGCAAACACACTATACTGCTGTGGTCGCGGATTTGACCACTCGCTTTTCGTGCCATGACTAATCGCATCCGAGATCTTTGTTGGAGACGGTTGTTTTATGCGACTGGGGCGACCGTGGGGGACGGTGGGACGGTGGGACGGTGGGACGGGGGATTGAAAAGGCGATGTTTAACGCGAACGGGAAATTTCTTTGGGGCTGTAATAATAAAGGCTTCGTTTATCGTGCCGTTTATGTCTAATTGGGCTCGTTTGCATATTTATAGCGAGGGGATCGATAGGGAGTTGTTTTTTTTTGTAAGTACGTACCGCGGTAATAGACATTCCTACCGAGCGAGCTATTTATTATTCTATATTACATGACTATCTGATGGATTTTTATCTAATCTTCGATTAAGATATTAACTTAGTGACTTTTGTAAAGCTTTCAAGGTACTTTCCTCTTCGACATTATATATGTGTGTAGATGTAATTAAATTTTAGCACATACATCTTTTGCGCCGCTCAATCTATCAAAATCTATTTCCCTGTGTTATATAAATATAAGTTTAAGTCAAATAAACGCTAGAATATTTTTGTCTTTTCGTTTTTTTTCTTTTTTATATATTTATATATATATATATATATACATTTATTTTTTTTTGTTTACGGAATAAAATTCAAAACTACATGTATGTTGTGCAAGATATTTGCTTTGACTTAGAAAATTGAATATTATCAGTCAAATAATATTGACGATTGCCACGAGTTCCAAAGTCTAAATCTTTTGAACGATTTGTGAGGATGTCGAGGAGCAGCTTGCTGTGCAAAAACTTGTAAAAACAATTTTTATTTGTTTTAAGATTATTCTTACTATTATTATTACTATTATGGGATGGACTTTGGTATGAAAAGTTTGAAATAAATGATTGTAGGAGCGACTAGAGAGACGAGCTGGTGATGTTGGTATCACGTTAATATCGATGTAGCACGATTGTGTTACCGGACTACTAAAGAATCGGTATTCTTAATAAATAATTGCGAAAGCCGACGCATCGTTCTTCTCTCTCTCTCTCTCTCTCTCTCTCTCTCTCTTTCTCTCTATCTATCTCGGTGTTCCCCCTTCCCATTCCCCTCCTATAACGTTAGTTAAAGGGAGTAAAGAATGAGACGCGTGCTTTATTGGAAAGGAGATTTGCACGGAGTTGGTGGCGAGTAGTGTGGCGATTGGCAGGAGTCGCTACGGGGGGGAGTGCGGGGGGGGGGGGGGCGGGGGGGG